CTTTTTCCACCAATACAAAATGTCAAATTTTGTTGAGTCTTCCTCAGTATCATCACCTAAAAACTTAAAATCTGTGCTAAAATTCTGTGCTAATCTACGGTTCAAATTTTATGTTGAACTGTAGACCCTCCTTGAATTTCTTTTTGAAAGACATTTTACATGGAAAAGTAAATTGGTGTAGAGATGAAATTTTAAGCGGATTTTTGTGTAAGTTTGTGGATGTGGATATACTTGTTGAGGAAGTGGGAGATACTAAATTTAGAAGTACTCATCATACAGGGATTGACCCGATATAACCCCTTAAAAACATTATTAAGTAAGGAGAAAAATATCCTAACTTCAAATATTAATAATCCCACCAATAAAGGACGAAAAATTCTTGTAATGCAACTAACTTAAGTCTAGGACAGAAGAAAAAATCTACCTAAATTTAAATCCTGAATTTCAGTATAATATTTTAAACCATTTAGTTTTCATCAGAATATACATTCCTTGTAAATCATTCATCCATTTTCATTTTCAATTATGGGCCATTAACTTATGGCTTAAACAATGAAATCGGAAATAATGGTAAGTAGGATAAGTAAACCCATCAAATAAAAATTCTTGTAACAATTTTCCAAAACTTTGAAAATATCCTAACTATTTTTTTTTAACAAACAGTCCAATTGATTGGGATTAAAGTTCTGAAAATGTGGATGCATGCAATTGCATAAAGAAGAAAGAAATTTTTATACTTTAGAAGATTCATTTAACATTTTTTATAAGTTGAATTCCATCTTGTAGGAATATCTCTTGAAAATTTTTTATATTTTTTCCCATAGAGTGACAAAAATTTTTAAATTCTTTTCTAACATACCCATGTGTTCATAAATGATTTTAAATCATTTTTTATTGGACGTAAAAAATACAATTAATGTTGTTAATGCGTCTTGAACACATAAATTTAAAATATGACATGCACATCTAGTGTGAAAAAATTGTCCACCAAATTTGGGTTGATAAAGAGTTTTTTAATTCATTTATTGATATCGTATTTGCACTAGCATTCTCAAAACCAATTGTAAAAATTTTTTTAACCAATTGTAAAATTGTTTTTTAGTCAAACCATATTCTTCTAAAATAATATTTAAAATGGTAAAAATATTATGGACGGTGTGAGAGTCATCAAAAACTCTAAGTGCAATAATTTTTTTTTGAATTTTCCATTCATTATCAATCCAATGGGAAGTAACACCCATATAAGAATGATTTTTTTTGCATTTTCCATTCATGTATCAATTCCAATGGGAAGTAACCCCCAATATAAAGAATGAATTTAGTAACACCCATATAAGAATGAGTTTGCCAAGCATCACATCAAATATCACAACAAATAGCAGTTTTACCATTAAAATTTGCAAATACATTTTTTAAAATTTCTTTTTCTTTCAAATAAATAGATAAGATAGTCCTTTCAAGTGTATTTCTAGGTATCTTTTTGGCTAAAGGATTTAATGCTTTTTAGAATAGTTATTAAATCCAGTTTTTTCACCAAATGAAAAAGATAATCATTCCATACAAACCATTTTAGCCATTTCAATTTTATTAGTTTCATCACTATATTTAAATAGAAGAGTGTTAGGATCACCATACTTTTATGATGATAATTGAGTTTGAGTTACATTCATTCCTACCTCACTTGGATGATACAATTTTAAATGCCTATTCAGAGTGCCGTAGCCTCCTCCAAGCTTGAATGCATATTCTTTTTTGCAATAATTACATCGAACCGCATTGATTTCTACGTTATCTTGAACAATTTTTGCAAAATGCTTCTTTAAAATATCTGATTTTGGTGGTTTACCTATTGAAATATTAGGAGATGTGCTCCTTGTTGTGGTGGATGACGACGAATATAATGTTTCTCAACTAGAGTTTGATATTGAATTTTATCATTAAATTGTGGTGAAAAATCAATCAATGGATGAATCAATTTCTTCCACACTTTGAGCAACTCATTTTTACTTGGAGCTTTTTGAATTGTGTGCTATGTTTTTAAATGGAATTATGGAAAAAAAATGAATAAATGAAATATGAAATTAATGGAATGAGTTAAAAATTATTATTTCCAAAAACTAAGAAAATTATTTTTAAAAAAAATCAAATGAAGTAAATTTATGAATGGAACAATTGAGATTAGAAGGAATTTAGAATTGGATGTATGAAAATAAAAAATAAACAATAGATAATTCCAATATTAAGGAAAATAAAGCAATAGAAAAAATAGATAAATTCCAATATAAGGAAAATATAAGCAATAGAAAAAAAAACTAATAAATTTGAGAGAATTTGATTGAGAATAAGAAGGAGAGTTATGATGATAATTAGTTGTGAAAAAAAAAAATCATCAAATTCAACGCATTTTTATAACATATCTTTTCAATTTATTAGTTTTCCAAATGTCCCTTAGTACAGAAAAAGATAACAATTATATTTTTGGGTAATTTAGTAAATTCATAAATAAATACAATAATATTGATTAAAAATGAATAAAATTTATTTACCAAAAATAAAAAAAATAAAAGGTCAAAGCTATCAAGTGATCGAACTAGCCATTTGTACTTTTTTTTGGGTACACATAAATTGTATTTTAATTTCAAAATTCCCTTATAACAGAAAAATAACAATTATATTTTTGGGTAATTTAGTAAATTATAATAAATAAATAAATAATTGATTAAAAATGAATAAAATTTATTTACCAAAAATAAAAAAAATAAAAGTCAACTATCAAGTATCAACTAGCCATTTGTACTTTTTTTTGTACACATAAATTTGTATTTTATTTTACAAATCAACTATTCATGTACCATTTTTTGTATAAATTAAGTCAAATCATGTGTACTTTTTTTTCACCACTTTTTATAAATTATGTAGCATTGTGTACTTCTTTTCCCCATAAATCAAATCAACTACAATCAAATTAATTGATATAAATTTTTTTATAAAAAAATTTTAAGCTACAAATAATTTTATTTGTGCATCCGTTTCGAATAGGAACCTGAATCGCCAGTTAACCACCGATTCCGGGCCGGTTCAGGTTCATTTTTCAACATTCACATGAACCTTAACCGACCCTTGAACTATCGATTTCAGTCTAATTCTGATTCATTTACAGTACGATTCGATTCCGGTTAGAATCAAACCGGTGGCCTTGCCTACCAATAGGGTTAGAGTCTTGAAGATAAGCACCATTATTAGATGATAAGCACTTATTGTCTTATATTAGAAATGGCAATATTTATTCGGTTGATTCAAATTTCTCATCCTCAATTAAATAAAATAAGTACTCTCCTCCCAAAACCTAAAACATAAAAATTCTATTTTCTTTTTAAACTAGTTGGCCACGAGTGAGCTCATACCGGTTTCATCCCTTTCCTTTTTTTTTTTTTTTTTGCAAATAATCCTCAAATCTGTATATAGATTTAAGTTATTGTCGCCCAAATATTGAGATTTATTATTGTCCATATTTTTATATTTTATTCTCAGATCTAGTTCTGAGTTATTGTTGTCATTGTCATGATGATTTTGTCTAAAGTCTTGTTATTTGAATAGTTATGTAGGAAGAAGTGCAGATCTCATCTCTAATACAAGGAAGAAATTTGAAAGTAATCATATCATACTTATAGAAAGTTCATGGAGTCAAACAATAGTAATGAATAGCCACCAAATTTACTCAAAACTATTTTTTATTAAGATTTTTAAACCTTTAATGGAATTGGTATTAGAATCACCAAAAGTTTCTTTAAAAAATTTCTTCCTAAGAGTCTTAAGGATTGGCAAAACGGTCGATTCGATTCAAATTAAATCAAATCGATATCAAAAATTACAAATTAAATTTTTTGTTAACAGATCGAATCGAGCCAAATTTCCTCTTGAATCAAATTGAACTAATCAGTTCAGTCAATTTTAATCAATTTTGCCATTTCGATTTGATTTTAAAGCCAATTAATAGATTTATATGAAACTGACTCGAATCAAACTATAAATTTGGTTCAAACAAAATAAATCGACAACTAAATCTCTCTTAATTTAACTAATCGAACCAAACTAAAATGAGTCAGTTCAGTTTTCGATTGGATTCGATATATAAGTTTGCACACTTCTAACCATGACTTTAAGTTTTTAAGCATTGACCTTGTAGATAAATTTTGCCTAAAGATGCAACATTTTTTTTACTAAAAAGGCCATCACGATTTTTTTATTGTTTTATTACTTTTAGTGAAAAAAAAAAATATCCTCATTTATACCAAATAACTTTATATTTTATATATTCACTTCTTACTTTAAATTCCTTGTTTGTTTGTTTGTTTTGATTGAATTTAAACTTATCCAAATATGATTCTAAAAAGATTTTTGTGTGTGTGTGTGTGTGTGTGTGTTGACAAATGCAAACATTTGACCATGCGAAATAATTAAATTTGCATAAGAAAATTGTTTTTTTCTGATTACAAATTGCTGAGGTGGACAGAAGTCAAAAAATTATAGTGTTACTAGTTGCTCCACTTGAATAGAAGAAGTGCTCTCAAATATTTTCACTTATACCAAATATAAAAACATTAAACTCGAAATCAATTCTATAACATTATATGAAATTTATTTATACCAAATTCAAAATCGTTAAATCAGGTTATACTATAAAAAAATAATTATATTTGTTAATTATCTTATTCAAAAATTAATATGAGAACATTTTACTTTTTTGAAAGGTGAAAGTTAAATGGTCTGCAGAACTACATCGCTAAGGATATTATGGAAAATTCATAAAATCATCATGGCTTAGAAATCTAACACGTATACCATCAATTCTACAATCAACGGCCATGAAGCACTAATCCAAGAAACGATGTCTACTTCATTTCGTTACGCGGTTTAGGCACTATTTCATTCGTGTCAATCAAGAAACCAATTTTGTGTTTTTAAGAAAAAAATAAAATTTAAATTACTCATCATAAGAAGTCACTACTCTTTTCTGCTCATACAAACACATAGCTAAACACATTTCTAAAACAAAGCACTAGCTAAAGAAGCAAGAAACAGAGCAAAACAGAGAGAGTAAGAGAGATGGAGGAGAAGCTGAACCAAACCCAAACCTCTAAAACCCAAACAGCAACTGTATTTCCTAAAAAGAGGAAGTTAGTGAAGAGATTGATGTTTGAATTTTTTCTCTCTATTTTCAGCTGTTCTTCCCCTAAACCCCAAGAAGACAAGGAGATTTGTAATGGTCACATGTGAAGAAGGTAAAACGCTCAAAAATATCAACTTCCTTTTGAATTTCTGCTTCTTTTAGCTCTGGTTTAGTGTTTTTTTTTCTTTTTTTTTTTTTTTCAGTTCTGATGTTTTTACGGAGATCTATAGTTTGAAGAATGTTTCTGGAAATCAAATATGAGGGAAAAAGAAAAGGTAAGGAGAAAAAGTGATCGATGTAATATTATTAGTTTCATCGGTAAATATAAACTATGGGAGTTGAACCGGTTCGACTCAATAAAAAATCCAAGTCGCCAACGAAGGGCGAGCGTAGATGTCTTAATGGTGCAATCGGTGGTGGTGGTATTGGCAGAGGCAGCGGTGGTGGGCATCTTACTGGAGGTGTTAGTAGCGGTCTTGGTAGTGGTCAGTTGTGCTTGCTGACGATGGCGCTGGGAAAGTGATTTTAATGGAATCAAGCCCTCTTCAGAAACTAGGCGGGTATATGAGATTTTTTTTTTTTTTCTTTTATTAGAGTTGAGCCGGTTCGACTCTCCAACCTAAACATGCCCTGGGTTATTCTGATAAAATTAATTTTTTTTCTTTTTTGACATGCTGATAAAATTAAGTTGATTTTGTAATTCCTCTGCTTTTATGATTTACATCAATGAAACCATAATCTAGTATGGTTATACTTATGGTCGTACATAAGCTTGACAAATATGCACAGTCATAAAGTTTTGATACAAAGTGGGACCCTTGACAATTTATAAAAATATTCCAATTGCATGCCGTTATCTTTTATTTTATCATTCGCAGAAAAAGGAAATATCATATGAATTTTTGACTTTTGTGGTTCAATTCTGTGAAAAAGATTAAGATTGAAATGATAAGAAGTCCTTACCAAAGTGGATAGGCATTGAGGATTAATTGGATGATCATTTTAGAAATTTGAAGCAATTTGTGGCATATAACACATCATAAAATAGCGGGGGACCCATATAGGGGGTCCAAAGAGATCCTGGCCGCACCCAGTAAAAAAAAAAAAATTTAATTTTGTGTTAAAAAATTGAAAAAAAAAATTGTAGTTTGACCAATCAAAATTATAATTTAGTTTCCTAATTCTTTAAGTTTGGTCTCTCCTGCATATAATCACCATCAATTAAATTAAATTTTCTTATCTGCAAATACAATTAGTTTATTTTTAATATGCCAGCAAATAGACTTACATGTACATGTCTGAAGACCGAAGCAATTTGATGAGAAAGACATCAAATATAAGATTCTCTATGAAATAGAAAAATAGATGATGATGATGATGATGAATAAACTTTTTTTTTTTTTTTTTGCAAATGATAATTAGATCAACCCTTCTTGTCTTAAGTTTAAAATTGTGTTCACATTGAAAAATGTTCTCCTTTTGTCTCAATGACCACACTTTAATTTCTCATTCTCAACTCTTAAAAGCAAGAATAGGATGAACCATTACATTTGACCAACTATTTAGGAATTGAACTTTTACTTCTGCTGATTGAAAAAATAATTTTAAAAACAAAAATCTACCATATATGATTTGGAAGGTGATCAAAAAGAAAAGAGGCATGTTCAAACTGTTGTTTCAATTCAATAAAATTTGAAAAAATTTATGTTTGTATTCATCATATTGATACTACATTTGTTTTTTGTGGCCTTATGCTTCAATGCTTTTTCTTACTTTGGTAGTAATGGATTCTAAAATTTTCTTTTTCACATTCTGTTTGTACACTTTTTTGAGTAACAAAAGGAAACTCATAAATTAGCCTTTTCTTTTTATGGAATTATAGGAGGCTCTTGATTAATTCTCTCTTTCATGTGATTTTATCTCTGTGCAGCCAAATATGTATCACTAAGTTTCTTTTTTTGCTTTTTTCTTTGGGTGAAATGTACATTATAGATGCATATTAATTGATTAGAACTCCAAGTTTTCGATTTCCTTAATTAAAAATTTTGAGTTTAAGATTTGATTATGAAAATTGTCACGTTGGAAAAGTCTCGTCCCTTGTATAAATCCTGCAGTACTGATTATATATGCCAAAAATATATATATATATATACACACATTTAAAGAACATATATATTATCTCTCTTTTATTGAAATCTGTGGTAGGAAAACACGAAATTTCAAGGATAAGATCGAGAGAGTTGTATATGGCTGTCTACTGTTCTTGTTCTACCTTACGTTCAAGTTAATATATCTACCCATTGTAGATGCTAAACTCCGTTTTAATTTAGTAATTATTTATATACAATATAAAATTAAATTACAAGCAGAATTAATAGGTTAATTTACCTCAAATTTTATGATTTCAAAGTTATAATAAATACAAAATAGAGAAATACAAGGTAATACTAGGTCATTTGCAAAATAGAAGGGGTCATACCGTTTTTTATGCAAAGTACATGGGATAAATTATGCATTTAGCTTTTTTTTTTTTTTTTTTTTTAAACAAAATTAGAGAAATACAAGGTAATACTCGGTCATGCAAAATAGCAAGGGGTCATAACCGTTTTTTATGCAAAGTACATGGGATAAATTAATGCATTTAGCTTTTTTTTTTTTTTTTTTTTTTTTAATATAAGGTAACTTCACAAATGTTAAACCTTTGATATTGATTTAGTTTTTTTTTTTTTTTTTTTTTTAAATAAGGTATTCACAATGTTATACTTTGATATTGATTAGTTAGGAATTATAATTTAATTAATTACAATGTTGTATTTTGTATTTTAACAATAGGATGTAGACAATTGATAATTAAATTTTGGCTCCGTTTGTTTCCATAAAATAACTTGTATGAAAATATTTTTCATAATCTTCCGTTGTTTGTAGAATTCAAGAAAATAAGTCGATGGAAAATATTTTCCTAATCAAAGGCAAATTAAATCATTTTTAAAAAAATGATTTCTCATTTGTAAGAGAGTAAAACACTTTCTAAATATTAACAAAATTATTATGATCTTATCAATGCATGTTATTTAATTTAATAATCACTAGTAACCACAACTACCGGTCACATTTCACACTAGCCATCGTCAGCCACCACCATCAGTGACCGGTGATTTTTATAATTTACCATTTTTTATATTTTTCTCATATTTAATAATTAAAATTTTAAAATATAAAATTTCTATTATAATAAATACTTACAGTGTTACGAGTTAAAAATTTTAATATTTTTCAAAATTAGTTATTGGTGGGAGGAAACAACGGAGCCTTTCTTTGTTAATCACTTTTCCCGTTGTTTTCTGACACACGGAACCTGAAATTTATTTCCAGGAAAAGCTAAAAGCTAAAAGAAAGGCAATTGCAATTTGAAGACCTTTTTCCACGAATTGAACAAGAAAGACCTTGATAGTTGATATTACATATTCTTCGTACGATACAGCCATTTCCTATGTGAAGGGCTGTTTTAGGAAACTGACCATATTGTCCTGTCCATGGGACGAATATCAACATCCAAACCATTATGCATACCAGTCCTAAATTGACATAACCCACTTGTATTAATTACTATTAAAGAATTATTAAATGGTTTTATGATTATAATTTGGGATCTCCAACTTGAAAAATTTTTCATAAATAAATAAAGAAGAGCTCATTTTTAATATCAAATCCTACATCCACCATGCCACCATCATAATAATTCAAGTAATTCACCAATGAATTTATAATAATTTGGATAATTCTCTGTCTTATTGATTTGGATTTGATTATTAAAATCAAGCTCGATGTAAATAATTTAATTTTTTTATTTATGAATATTTTAATTTCATCTTTTTGACGAAATAATAGATTTAATAAAATACGAAAAAATTACCACACAAATCACTAATAAACTTTTTTTTTTTAGTATTAAAATGGTGATATTTATAATGATAAGATTCATGTTATAATGTCCACACAAATAATTAGAATCTAATTGGTGTAATAAAAAAAAAGCATTTATTAAGTAATATTGATGGAAGTCAAAAGGTAATTATGCGAGATCTAGTCTTGGGGAGTGTTGGAACTTGGATGATATTAGTGAAACCAATTATTAGGGCTTCATTTCTTTCTAGAAAAATTTCAAAATATTTAATTTCACCTTATTTTTTGTTGTTCTGTTACAATATTAAGAATTAATTATAAAATATTAAATTCTAAGACTATAAAAAGGCATACAACTATAAAATTATATATTTTAAAACTTCTTATTATATATATATATATATATATTAAAATAGTCGCCACTGACTTATAACGGCGGTCGATGTCTAGTAGTTGAGCAGCGAGGATCGAAAATGGTGAAGGGGAGATCAATGAATTTATATAAATGTGTTATTATAAGGTAATTAATTTATTAAAATCTGAAAAATGTTCTCTCTTTTAAAAAAAGAAGTCATTTTCGTTCAAAATGACTTAGTTTTCTGGTTGACCAAAAAAAATCTCTATTAACTGCTTTTTTTTTTTTTTTTTTAATATTTTTTTTTTTTTTTTTTAACACTCTAAGCATAAGAATATTTGAAAAATATTTTTCATATAAATTATTGTCTAAAAATAAAACGCGGCTAAAATCATCCAATTTTTAGACCTTTTTTCATAGAATTAATTTGACTTTTTAATAGATCTAAATATTTTAATAAATGAAAATTAGTCCTTATTTGATTCATTGCGTAAAATAACAATAGAATTCAATATTTACTATTCACTCTTTATAAATTTTTTGTTTTCAGTATTTTTAAAATATTTATGATATACATAAAATATATTAAGCTTTTTTTTTTAAAAAAAAAAGATTATTCAAATTACCTCTCAATTCTCTTTTAAAAATTAATGATTTAATGTTTTCAGCAATTATTTTTTTTTACAAATTATAATGTAATAAACATGTTTTATGCTTTTTCCCCAAAAAAAAAAAAAAAAAAAAGCTTTTTTTCTTTTTAAAAAAAAAAAAAAAAAAAATATTGGTTCCACTTTAATGGCAACAAAGGGGCATTTTACTTTATACTAGTGGTTATTTAGAATTTTGAGAGTTAACTAATAATTTTTTTTTTTCAGTTTTATCCATAATTATTAGGTGTAATTTATTTTTATGTTTACATCTATTTTCTTCTAACAATGTTTACATATATGTTTACAATATAAAGCAGAAAATAAAAATAAAAATTAATAGCTTTCATTTTATTTTAATAATTTTTTAAAACTTTAATTGAAAGCCTTTCACAAAAATTGGAATTTAAATTGTAAGTATTTCAATATTTAAAAAAATTTTTCTGAAAAAAATGTTTATCTTTTCATTAATATACAATTAATCAATTGTGCGAAATTCAAGATACAAAATATAAATAATAAATCATTTCATTTAAATTTAGTGATAGAAAGAGTTTTTTATTTTATTACATAATATTATATATAAACTAACATATGCTAACACCAAAATTAAATGATTTGTAATTTTAAATTCTCATTTGTCCACACAAAATGTAAAACAATTTTTAAAAAAATATTTGAATAAGGTATATGAAAATGATCAACTATAATTATTTTAATGTATTTATGATATGAGAAACTCTTAAAAATATAATGTGGTGTGAGTACGAGTATAACCTCCCGACAACTTGCGAGTAATTTGATTGTCAGACGCTAAAAAAGAAACATGCGGATTTAAACCACAACTTGTTA